ACAAAGAATTAGGAGGGGTAGTCAAATGAATTTCCCGTTGCCAGTTCATTCTAGCATATAGATAGTACGGAGGAAAAAGCTTGACAGTGTACAAAAGACTACTTCAAAGGCAATAGATTTGACGGCTTCTTGTATTTTACCTTGCAAATGTGCATAATTAATATGCAAATGGCATCATAGCTTGAAGAGCTGGCCTTCAAAAATGATTTATAAGATGATAATATAACAATCAATAATTTTTTCCTGAAAATTTTGCAAGTGGCATTGAAACCGATAAGTCGACAAGGTAAATTGGATGTTACGAAGCTATTTAGCATCATTCGTAACAACACGACGTCGGGGGTCAGCGTCAGGGAAGCGGCGTGGTAGAGTACTCCATAGCAACGGAATTAGAGATGGAAAATATTGTGGGACAAGAGAGTCGCAATGCTAAATGAGTCAATTCAAGACGAAATAGGGCAGTATCGCAAGGTTTCATTGTCTATCAATGCATTTGGCGAGTGCAAGAGTACTTCAAAGAGAAATTTCTAAGAAAATGCTTTGTTCAAAAATTGTAAAAAATCTCAATCAATCGATCTGGTGAACGAATCTAATGATTCTGTTATTATTGTATTAAAGAAGTAATGTGTATTTTAGACTATGGATATTTAAGCCCAGAAGGAATGATATTTTTATTCTGTCTCTTCAACATTTATTCACTTTATTTTTCTATCATTTACCAACCATTTACATTGCCAATGTAATTCATTAGCATTTTCGCTTATTTATTTATTTTCTATGAAAAGCTGTGTTTGTATAATCACAATTTATAAATAAGCATGATTGATGAAAGAGTGGTATATTTTAGTAAAACATAATTTTTTTTGCTAAAGCACACCACTCTTTTTTAAAGTTGTAAGTATGTACAAAATGAATTTTTTAACCATCTTAGGCTAACTATTTCATGCTATAAACTTCCTTAACGTATTTGATTGTAATTTCAGCAATGTTTTTTTTTTCAATCAATG